AGATGTGGCCCACCAGGCCATTCTATCTGGCCCGCGGGGCCCCTTAAAAAATTTTAGAAAATAATAGTTATCTGCCCCTGGCTGCCTGTCATTCGACCCTTGATGGCTTGCCAAAACTCATTGAGTGGCCCTCCCCGCAAAATAATTGCCCACCCCTGCCCTAGGGCCTTCCCAAGTACCCCCAAGGGTACATGTACCCCCGTTTGACAACCCCTGACATATCTGATTGTAGTGGTCCCACCCAGTGCTTTGAAGGCAACCTGTTCCCTGTGAGATCTTCAGATGCTGCTCATGGCCACAGAGAATTAAAAAGTTAAAAATAAAGTTGATGGGAAATGCAATGTATGATGCAGCTTTCAGCATGTTACTTCTCCAGTATTGTTGTTCATGCACCAGTGACTATTCTGTGGGGGACCACTGCCTTATAGTTTCCTCGGTATAGTCACATAGCTGAGATTAATGTGAAGATTATTATTGGGCAATTTGAAAGGCTGCTTCTATTACTAATTTGCCTTATGTGACTAACTCAATAACACATTCATCCTCATATTGCAGTGATGACTATGTGTTTGCTTATGTCTGTGTGTATGTGGCAGAGAGAGAGTGTGCAGGACTCTGAGGGTGCGTTCACACATGCAGGCACGTGTGCTTGCAGCCATTTGAATAGGAGCGGCACAAATTTGAGCTGGGGATTTTTGCCTCAGTGCACATATCCAGACATGCACTTTGGTGTGGGGCAAGTTGGGCCACTTGGGGCAAAATAACCCTGCCCAGCTCCTCCTGGATCTGCAGCCAGGTGGGAACTAGAGCCTGGGGCCAGCACCATAAAAACTTGCCCTCAGGAGCTTCAGAGGCCTGGCCAGTTGGTATCTGGGGACACTGCCCCTTGTGACAGCTGGATTGAAGCAGCCCTGACCTGGAGTGGCCCCTGCCCCCTCTACCCACTGCAGTGGTTTGGCAGTGGGGACTGCTGCCTGGCTGTGACCTGTCCCCAATGCTGGCCTTGGACAGGCTCCTCTGCCCAGGTCTCACCACTTGTCTCACCAGCAGAGATCTTGGTGTTCCCTGTTTAAACACTGCATATTCTCTGATAAGAAACACAAATTCTCTCATTAAAATACACAAAAATGTTCTTTTGCTATTATAATGAAATGCCAATATATAGAGAGAGATCAGTTGGGCAGTGTTTTATTGATATATTTACAAGTTTAAAGCAATTTGGTAGTCTACCAGTGCCTGTATCATCATAATAAAATAAATTCTAAATATCTATACACTTCGGCATTTAGTTTTGGCTTTTTTGTCATAGAAAAATCAGAGCTGCCCCTACCCCCTTCGCTCACCAGGATGTGCAGTGCTAAGCATCACTGATATGCCAGTGCCCTGTCCCTGCCCTTCACGCTCAACCAACAACCTGCCTGCTACCCCAGTCCCCACACTCCTGACCTACAGGGCCAGGTATGTCGGGGTGGCTAGGGGGTGTGTGGGTGGATTGTGTGGGGAGTGTGGGTGTGGGGGGCCATGTGAGGGGGGCTGCCCAGGAGGGGTGGGTCTCCTGCCCCCTGCAAGCTACAGCCCCAAACACAGGGCTCAGAGCCCCCCTCCCCCGTGCAGGAGCCAGAGCCCCCCCACTGCAGGGACTGCAGCCC